TTGTGGTCTTTGTTGATGTTTCATTTTGGTTTAATTGTGATAAAGGAATGAGACATTTCTTCCTTTTTCTTTTGGGCAAGGATATTTTTTTGTTTATTGCTGAAATACGCGTAGTGGTTTGGAAGTTGTCAAAGCTTGGAGAACAATGTTTTGCAGTTGTTTATTATACATATTTCAGGATGGGAATCTGGGGGGAACCCCAAAGCATTGCAACAGCAAAAGTTGTCATCATGGTCCCAAAAATGCCATCTTGTTTAGAGCCAACTGGTAAAAACCATCAAGAGTGCAGAGACAGGGAAATACTAATGGTTCACCACCCCAAACCAAACAAGGGTTTGGGTTAGACATTCCATTCGGGACAAATGGGACAAATCCCATTCTCTGACATGTCATTTCATAGGGACAGAGAACCTCTTAACAAATTCAGCTTTAACCATTATCTTTCATTTTACCTGGCTGTACTGTTATTTTAGTAAAAACCTCACCAAATGTCACGGGTTGGGAGGTACAAAAAGTATGTTTTCTCATACTGCTGTTGGATCAGCCAGCATTGGCAGTTAAAGTAGGCCATAAACATGCATACTACTTTGACCCATATGAAGTCAGAAGATAACTGGCTACAATGGCATTGGCATAAATTATAGATGTAGCAGTAATGATGTTGATCAACTGTGTAAATGAAGCCTACGCTTCATTAATTGGCTGCCACCGTGTTTATTTATTTATTTATTTTTACTTGGAGCCAGGAGTGACTTAGACAAAAAGGTAGAGCTTGAGAAAAGAGAGAAATTTGCACTTTTAAAGTCCCACTCCAATCATTTTTTTTTTTAGTTCTGAAAGTGTTCTCAGTGGTCTTTAAAATGTGATTCTGAAGTTTCAGTGAAAATCATGTTACCTTTGTCATTTTCAAGGACTTTTCTTCTGCAGGGCTCCAGTAGATCATTAGCAATTCACCTCTGAGTTGTGGACGGAAACAGCGCTGCTCTGCACACTCCTCTTCATGCTAGCTTGCAGCCTAACATTGCCGATGTAGTATAAGTGACAGGTAACATAGGAGCTATTCAGCTCTAGGACACTAATGTCTTTGGGGGCATGATGAAAGCTTATATCATAATTAGCTTTCTTACGAGCATTGCAATTCACTAACACACACACTTGTTCTGCGATTGTCCTTGCTACTTCTCTGAGTCTGGCCTGCATAGCGGGGTGCCGGGGACGGAGCTTGCAGTTGTGACGTAGAAAATCCTACTGTATCTGAACCTGCCATTTAGGTCTGTCAGAGGTTCACAGTGATTTGAATGAAGAACACTTGACATCTCATGATGTGGCCTGTAGCATCAGAAAAATGTCATGAACATGTAGACAACAAGAAAAACATCGGGCTCTATTTCCGTGCCCGCCAGCAGCCCGGCGGCGCACCTTGTGCAGTGGTATTTTTGTCTGGTGAATGCTGGCACACAGCCAATTTAGTATTTTAGTAGACTGAGGTGCGCCAAGCTGGGTTTGGTTGCACCGCAGGGGGAGGTGTTGACAGAATGAACTGGCACAATGACATTTTCGTGATCGCCGCTGGCATGGAAAGTGCGCTGAAAGCTCGCCGATTCAAACCTGGTCAGCTTTCAGTGCAGGCAGAGCGCAGCTGGTCTAGTGGTATTTTGGCAGACTGGCGGTGTAGTGCGCATACATCACCTATGCCTCACAGGCAGGTTTCCACAGCGTCAGGCACGTTTCAGTGCAATACATAATCAACAACAATCAATATTCAGTGCAACTATGTATATCTTATGAGCGCATTTGGCATGCTTATTGCCACTCGACCTGACCAACTTGCACAGCTGAAACCCTGATGCAAACTAATGACTTCACGTCTCTCTACCAACCACAACAGCTTTGTCATCACAGAGAGAGTATTTATCTGTCATCTCAGAACACTCAGAAAACATCGATGCACACAGAGGTGATGTAAGTTACGATCGTTGCTCCCAAGATTTACCTGCATCATGTGATCTCACATAGCTACAAATGTAATCATTTCCATGCTTAACATTATCTACAAAGATGGAGTATATAATTGCAATGAGTTGGAGGCCGAGGAGAACTTATAGGGCAAGGGTCTACCATCAAAGGGCATCATATTTAACCTTAACAGAGCAGGAATGCAGGTGGACCACAAGGATAACACCTCCAACACTGTGTTCAATGCAATTGCTTTTTAACAATCTACTCTTTTCCTTGACACAGGAACAAATTACACCTGTCCAGTGAGGTGGTCCACGCGGTAACGTGCATTGTGGCCTCAGATGCAGACCCTGGTGGCCCATGCGCTCTCCCAGTTGCTGTGAGGGTGACAGCGGCTCTGACTTTCTTCCCCATCAGGTCTTTCCAGCACACCGTGGCCCTTGGTGGTAGGGATCAGTCAGGCCGCTGTCAGTTTGGCCATACATGCAGTGTCCACCAGTCTAGTCCGACAGGCAAATGAGCACATAATTTTCCCATCAACACCTGCGAGCCAGCTGGAAAGAAGCAAGGGTTCTTGGAATATGGATTCCCTGGAGTCCTTGGAGCAATCGACTGCACAACATGTGCAGCTTTGCACACCAGAGACCCAAGCCCTCTTTTATGTGAACCAAAAGGAAGTCTACTCCATCAATATCTAGGTGATTTTTCACTCAAATTGCCTGGTGAAAAACATGTACACTAATTACCCCGGGTCTGCACATGACTCATTCATCCTGGCGAATTCTATCATCCCTACAGTCTTTCAGGGGGACACCCCTTTGGATGGGTGGCTGCTAGGTGATAACAGCTATCCACTGAAAATGTAGTTGATGACACCATACATTACACCTTCAACAAGACAGCAACATGTTTTTTAACTGTGTCTTCAGCAGTGCTAGGTCAGTCATCGAACATACTTTTGGAATACTAAAAATGCGTTTCAGATGTCTGGACCGGTCAGGTGGTTCATCAACATACAGCCCGCAGAGTGTTGGTGCATTTCTTCACATGTTGGAGCTGGGAAACATCCAGAACATGCAGGACAGTGGGCCTCGAGGACTGCACTTGAGAACCAATACGGGGCCCCCAAGAGCAATCAAAATTTTGATTGCTCTTGGGGGCCCCCTATTGGCTGCGGGACCCTAAGTTTCCTTATGCCATGGGCCGGCACTGGTCCTCAGTGCGGTCATAGTGGCATCCATGACTTATAGCTATGTTGTGTAAAACAGTATATATACACTCACCGGCCACTTTATTAGGTACACCATGCTAGTAACGGGTTGGACCCCCTTTTGCCTTCAGAACTGCCTCAATTCTTCGTGGCATAGATTCAACAAGGTGCTGGAAGCATTCCTCAGAGAGCTTGGTCCATATTGACATGATGGCATCACACAGTTGCCGCAGATTTGTCGGCTGCACATCCATGATGCGAATCTCCCGTTCCACCACATCCCAAAGATGCTCTATTGGATTGAGATCTGGTGACTGTGGAGGCCATTTGAGTACAGTGAACTCATTGTCATGTTCAAGAAACCAGTCTGAGATGATTCCAGCTTTATGACATGGCGCATTATCCTGCTGAAAGTAGCCATCAGAAGTTGGGTACATTGTGGTCATAAAGGGATGGACATGGTCAGCAACAATACTCAGGTAGACTGTGGCGTTGCAACGATGCTCAATTGGTACCAAGGGGCCCAAAGAGTGCCAAGAAAATATTCCCCACACCATGACACCACCACCACCAGCCTGAACCGTTGATACAAGGCAGGATGGATCCATGCTTTCATGTTGTTGACGCCAAATTCTGACCCTACCATCCGAATGTCGCAGCAGAAATCGAGACTCATCAGACCAGGCAACGTTTTTCCAATCTTCTATTGTCCAATTTCGATGAGCTTGTGCAAATTGTAGCCTCAGTTTCCTGTTCTTAGCTGAAAGGAGTGGCACCCGGCGTGGTCTTCTGCTGCTGAAGCCCATCTGCCTCAAAGTTCGACGTACTGTGCGTTCAGAGATGCTCCTCTGCCTACCTTGGTTGTAACGGGTGGTTATTTGAGTCACTGTTGCCTTTCTATCAGCTCGAACCAGTCTGGCCATTCTCCTCTGACCTCTGGCATCAACAAGGCATTTCCGCCCACAGAACTGCCGCTCACTGGATATTTTTTCTTTTTCGGACCATTCTCTGTAAACCCTAGAGATGGTTGTGCGTGAAAATCCCAGTAGATCAGCAGTTTCTGAAATACTCAGACCAGCCCTTCTGGCACCAACAACCATGCCACGTTCAAAGTCACTCAAATCACCTTTCTTCCCCATACTGATGCTCGGTTTGAACTGCAGGAGATTGTCTTGACCATGTCTACATGCCTAAATGCACTAAGTTGCCGCCATGTGATTGGCTGATTAGAAATTAAGTGTTAACGAGCAGTTGGACAGGTGTACCTAATAAAGTGGCCGGTGAGTGTATATATATATATATATATATATATATTCTATTTTTTTGCATGTATGACTGATGCTTTTTTTATGATCAAATATATATTATTGTAAAAATAAAATAAAGTAAAAACATTTTAGTGCTGCTGCTGATGTAGACCTTTGATTCATACTGTTAATATGTCAAAGCTATGCTATCATTAAATGCCTCCTGCTGTGCAATGTGCACTGAGCATCCAAAGCTCAGGTAGTTGTGGGGCAAAACAATGTCGCAAAAAGGACATATCCTTCCGGAGCAGATAAAAGAAAGAGGAAGAAGTGAAAAAAACGCCAAGATTAAGGGGGGCTGTCTGAAAAGGCATACTACTCATACTACTCATACTAACCCCACCCCCGAATTGAGTAGGCAGAGCGTTCACACTGTACAGTATGCGAATTTTGTGTACGCGAGAAATGCCCGGATGTATGCTCAATCGGATTCAATTTCTGAGTATGGAGTGGAGCTTCCTTTACGTACTGCTTCTGCCCCATAATGCATTGCGGACTTCTGCCGCGAGAAGACGAAATACAAAATGGAGACAGCCGGCAGCAGCTTCCAGCAACAAAGCGCTCATAAATGTAAGTTATTTAACTTTATATTGTGGCACGTAACCGAGCAGATAATAGTTGTATTGACGTTTGAGTTTATGCGCTGCTTGACGACCAGTCAGCCTGCCAATTGCTTAGCACGTTAGCTTATGCCGTAGCCACAACTAAACTGTAATGTGGACCCATGATTTCGTATTATAAATACTGCTGTGTTTTCCTTCAGGGACAGATGAGAACACCAAGCGGCTGATCCGGTGGCGGGGGCGGAACGAGGCCGTGTTCACGGGCAGAAGGAACGCCGCCCTAAAGGGTTTTGAGTGAGAAATTTGTGTTCATGCAACGTTGCACCGTGGATTTATTTTGTTGCTATGGGTTGATTACAAGATGGAGAAAAAGCTACTGCCTAATGCAGACATAATATGAATATGGAGAACTTGAGGACACATTATGGTAACTCTGTACGTAAATGGTAAATATGAACATTGTTCTGACAGTGGCTTGTAGGCACTTGCCACGTTCATATGCTCTTTTGATTGCCCCTTGTTTGTCATCCTTGTTTAGGGCTTTCGTCAAGGAGAATGAGCTGGAGGGCCAGGTGGACCCAAGTTTTCCCCCCAAAAAATGGGAAAACTTGAAATATAAGGTAGGTGGAGGTATGACAAACACTTCAGTATTTAGGTTTCACACCAATACAGTGAATGCAAATGTTTTTAAGTTTTACTATATAATCTGGCTATGTCAGAGTTCAAACAGTCAGTGTGAAAGGGACCCATGTTATCAGATTATCTTTGTGTGTGTGTCATTGCCAGGTTCTCAAGGCACCACCAACGGGGGTCAGCACAGAGGGAGGAGAGGCCACTGCTTGCCACGTTCATATGACACCAGCAGCAGTGGCCTCTCCTCCAAATCCAACTTCTGAGTCTCCTCCTGTGAGAGGGAGGAGAACAAGTGATTCAAGGAGCAGAGAGTGGTTCGAGGAATGATTGAAAGACTTTGAGGAGAGGGAGGATGAAAGGTGGCAGCAGGCAGAGGAACGGGAACATCGGGCAGAGGAGAGGGAGAGGCAGAAAAAGAGAGAGATGGAGGAAAGATGGGTAAGAAGAGAGCGAGAGTGGAGAGAAGAAGAAAGAAGGAACACAGACAGAAGAGAGCGGGAGTGGAGAGAGTGGATGGATAATAATTACGTTGTGGGTTGGTCATTTTGCAGCCCTATGCTGCTCATCACACGCCCAGCAGGTGGTGTATAGCATTATCACCATGGATACACAGGTGTTTGTGTAATTTTTATTAATCCACTGCTGCTTAGTTTGTGTCGCGTAGCTGTTGATTATGAAAACACTTCGCAATAATTTGGAAACGTGAAGGGGGAGCTGCTGCTGCCTGGTGTTTATGGTACGTAGACGCAAACACCCACCAAGCGGACGCTTCGGTCTCCGAAAATGCCGAGACAAATTTACAAACAGCCGCTATTTCAAACAACTGGGCTCATAATCGTGATGTAAACACTTACTTTCTCACTTGAAAAAATATTACGACTGATTGAATTTATAGAGTCCGGAATGCAGTCGTTTTGAAGCTTGTGGTAGGACTGTTTAAATTTTCCCGGCCCTGCTTCCAGCCGACACGAAATGCATTCTGGGGTTTTTTGGTATGTATGTGTTTAAACGCTCGGGCAGCCACGGCATACTCAAATCATCTTTGAGTAGTCAGTAGGCAGTATGTACTGATTGAGTAGGTAAGTAGACAGTAGGCAGTATGCCATTTCAGACACAGCCGGTATGTTTGCATGTCATGGAGTGTTAAAGAGATTTGTGAAGGTGTGTGAATGATCAACAGTCAATATTATTGGCAGAAATAGAGAGCCCCAAAATCAAATTTTGCTTAGGGCCCCATTGAGGCTGAGGCCAGCTCTGCTGAGGACACATGACTGGACTTCAGACAGAGAGAGGCCAAATTGCACGTATGTCATATCAGCAGGGAGAGCAGCAAAGCACATGGGAGAGGAGGGACCGCCTCAGAGCACAGCTCTGCCATTAAATGTAAGTATTTGCTTCCATTCATTTATACACAACGATTTGTAATTATCCACATTAGAACATCCAATAAATAGTCACACATGATTGTGTTAACAAGTATTTTATCCTTGTCCCCTCCCCACCCCCCTTCCTCCTCTTCTTCCTACTCGTGCGTCTGGACGCTGCGCACGTTCCATCAACCCAGAGGGCTGTCCCCCTCTCGTGCGAAGCCTCAGCGGCCACCTGGGACAGGCGGGGGTGGTGGATGGTTCTGTGGATGGCAGCAGCCTTTCTGCGACCTCAACCAGTCTGCTAAATGTGGCAATACTAGAGGCTAGGGGGAGCAGGCTGGTCTAGAGGACCTCCTGAAGAGATTTTATTTGTGCCTCCAGTGACCCAAGCTGAGCCTCCAACATGAGAAATCCAGCCAGCTGGGTCTCCAGGAAGGGCTGGTCCTCCTCCTGGACCCGGACACGTCTGCGCCCTCGTTTTGCCGGCTCAGGTCTGTGACCTGCCCCCTCCTGAGTCTCCGGCACCGGCTCCGACTCCCCCTTGTCCTCCTCATCCTCCTCCCCCTCCCTGACCTGGTGCTCCTCTCTGACCTGGTGCTTCTGCTGCCGCTGCTGCCGCGATGGCAGCAATTCTGCCGAGGCTGACCAGAAAATTTATTTTAGTAAATAAGAATAAGAATAACTTTATTAATCCCCGAAGGGAAATTCAATTGTCTGTTGTCTCACATAATATGTCTCTAAAAGTTATCTATTATTTACACAAGAGTTATAAAGCCTGATGGCTGTTGGTACAAAAGATCTTCTGAATCTTTCTGTCCTGCAGCGAAGAGAGAGGAGCCGTCCACCACCATTGGCCCTTTCGTCCATCAAGGTGTTAGTAGTAATTTAAAGTAGTAATTTATTTTCAAAATGTTAACACAATATAAGACTTTCATTCACAATAAATAAGTTATAAATTGTGTGAGCCAAGTTCATTTTACATGCAAACCTTAGTGGACAGGGAGAGAGAAATAAAAATCAGGCTTTGTTTGATCCCTCCTTTACGCACAGGTGGTTCGGATTTCAATCCCACTACTCATGGCATTTTTTCATATCACCTGTGCACACAACACACCTTTGTAACACGTGGTTAAATATACTTGATGTGAGTGTCCTTATTTGTGGAAAAGAATGTTTGTCTTACCCATGGATCCAACCTCAGAGACACCAAACCCCTCATTACTTATTTGGGGGAGTGTGGAGGATGCCACGTCCTCAGCAAGGCTCAGCACCACACTCGGTGAGGGGCCGCCTCCAGTCGTCACTGTCTGGCAATGGTGTTGGGATAGTTTTTGTGTAGCCCGTCGTCTAACATCATTGAACCGCTTTTTGCATTGTGTAGCGGTTCTCAGCACGTCCGGGGAAACCTGGTTCACCGCAGTACTTACCTCTTCTCAGGCTGCTTTGGCATCATCGGCCCGTGGAGGTCTGTTCGCATGACCATAAATCTGGCCACTGCAAGACTGGACCTCCCAGACCAGACATCAATCTCCTCCCGGGAGAAGTTCAGCTGTCCCGCACTGCTGTCTTCTGCCATTTGTTTGACTGCTGCTGGATTTGAAGGCGAGGAGAGGAGCTGATGTGATTAGCTCAAATTGGACTCAGCTGTGTTAACCCCACTCCAAACCTTCTCTCCTCCCTCTCGGCTACTTATGTTGCTGGGAGGAGCTGAGTTAGGGAGGGGGGATACTTACGCCGGGCTGCGCCACTCACCAAAATACCAAAGTGTGCCTGGGCACGCCGGCGAGGCAAGAAAATAGAGCCCATGATTTTCATGGGAGTGGGTCTTTAAACTCTTAAAGCTTAACAGTCAACACGTGGCTAATTCAATGGCTGCTTATGAGCCAATTTTGCATTGTGTTTCCCAGAATGCAAGACACTATCAGTGGTGGCTGACCACAGTTAAAGAAGCTATAGAGGTTCAGAGATGCAGTAGTATTGTTGCTTGCTCACCAGATCTGTAATAAGAAACCTGTGTCATTTGTAAAAGCCGACAAGTATCCTAACTCTGTTACCAAAAAAATGACTTCATGCTCTGGATTGGCGTATATGACAGCGTGTTCCAGTTCCAGCCAGGCCTCAGGCCACAATCAACAATATGATGATCAACTCTATGTGAAGGAGATGTGTTGCACTGCATGAGGCAAATGGTGGTCACACTAGATGACCCCCCCAGATGACCCCAATACAGTAAAACTGCTCCTTTTAAAGTGGCATTTTATAGTGGTTAGTCAAAGGCAATAATCATGCTGTCTAATCAGTGTCTTGATATGCCACACCTGTGAGGTGGATGGATTATCTCAGCAAAGGAGAAGTGTTCACTAACACAGATTTAGACAAATCTGTCAACAATATGAAAGAGAAATAGATCTTTTGTGTACATGGAGAAAGTCTCAGTTCTTTGAGTTTAGCTAATAAAAAATGGGAGCAAAAACAAAAGTGTTGCATTTATATTTTTGCTCAGTGTATATTATAAACACTGTATGAGCAAACAAGCTTGGTATAGCGAGCACTTGGATGCAAAGTGTGACTGAACTGATTCTTTGAGGTCTAGCAGACAGCAAGACTTGAACTGAAAGGGAATGAGTGATCCCAACCAACATAAAATCAGATGAGCTTCTGAAAAGTTTCCTGGGAGGGAAGACTCTGCATCTAATATCCACAGTCAGATGGAACAAAGAGGAATGCACATTAGCAATGCACAGAGCTGCAAAATTTTAATGGTGTTTTTGTAAATACCAACAGCACAATCTGCTTTGTGAATTGGACCATAAGTCGGAGCAGATAGCAGAGGCAAATGATGTGCTAATTTTGATGCAATTGGCAACTGCAGTCTTTCCCTATTGTATCCCCTTACAGTCATTTAGTGCACCCAGTCAGGCAGTCAGAGGCTGATGGGGCAGGGCCAAGGGTGGATCCAGACTTTTCTGACTGGGATAGCCCAACTGGGAAACTGTCATGGACAAGGGCAGTTTGGATATGAGTGTACACACACAATTTTATGGCATTTACCGACTGTCTTTATTGTCTTCACTCTAAAAACTTAAATGTAAGTATGATACGGCTGTAATTCCCTTTTTTTCACTTTAAAAGAATTGCAAAGGAGCTGTGACAAATGAATCTTGTCAATTCTTTGACTCAAAAAGAAGTTTTCTGACCTTCACAATTGAAGGAACCAACAAAGAAAAATGTGCTCCGTATTCACATACAGAGAAAAGTATTGGCAGTCTGTTCATACACAACTCAAAGACTCAATTGTTACACAAACCCTTCTTCTGACTTCACAAACATCTCGGGAATTTTTAGGTTTTCTGAATGGCATTGGGGTGGCCAGGTGGGCAGTGCCACCCTCAGAGATGTGCCCCTAAGTAATGTATGCTACATTTTTACAATACTGGCCTGATCATGAAATTATCCTATAAGAAATCCCTTTTAAACAAATCCTCCTGGGATTTAACCATTTAAGAGCTTTGCCTACGTACAGCCTTACCTATCTGAGCCTGCAAAGTCAGCCGATGATCTTGCACTGGGCTCAGATACTATGGGACTTTGTTTTTCTTTCAATTCTGGTGTCATTGGAAATCTTTTGAAGCAGAGATATGTACAAGACAAACCTACCACAAAAAGGAATCTGGATGGGAATAGAAAGATTTCATGAGTGATGTATTCATTATTTGTGGTGGTCATGTCAGCGTCTACTCCACATCTTATTTGAAAGTGGAGTGTTGTCAGACTTCTGGCTCAATAGACTGCCAGGTGGAGGTATGTGGTCTGTGGTCTCCTTTAAGGAGGCTTTCTCTGATGAGTGAACCAACCACTCTGCAACAATTTAAGATGGGTTGAATTGAATTGGACACAAAGGTGTTGGTTTGTGTCTCGTGAACATCCCTGATATTCTTCTTTCTTGCCATAAACACA